GGAGCGGTGCGGTCCACTTGGTTACGTGGTGTAACACCACCACTTCACAGTGACCGACCAACTCGGTCGCTTTAACCTGTGTACTCCTATCTATCCCTCGGTCGCTCACCCTCTAGATTAAAAAAAAAAAAAAAAAAAAAAACGATAAAAGTGCGCCCCTCCAACTATTAATTATTGGCTTTCTCCGATGAAATCGCGCGAATGATCGCGAGAACAGGAGGGGTCATTTCGAAGAAGGAAGAATATCGAAATCAATCGAGGTAATTTCTAATTTTGAGAAATTAAAGTGTTGTCGCGAAGGAAATTTTCAAAGTTTTATATATATATAGAGAGAGAGAATTAATCCTCTATTGCATTCCGTTCCCAATTGGAGACTTCAATAAAAATGTGTTCTGCAAAATACGTACAAAAAAAGAAGGGGACATTATATATTTTTTTCAATTCATAAAAATTCATGCGATAGAGGATTAAATAACATTTTGAAAAGGGATATGTACATGTTCGCGTTTAATCGCAATCTTTGGTTCTGCTAATTTTATTTGTGAAAATGTTTTTTTCGAATTCGATTTCTATCGAATTTCTAACTCTTGAGTAAACGAACAAAAATTTCTATTTATATCAGAGAAAAAATGTGAATCGAAGTGAAAATTCCGTTACGGAATTATATCGTAATTTTCACGGATTTTAACCAAACTTTGGAATTCCATAGAAAGATTTCGATCGGCCAATACCGATTGCGACGAATTAAAAAGAAAGAAGGAAAACGGAGGGAGAGAAGATTGTAAACGTTTCGGATTATGCGATAATACGCGTGCTCATCTGGTGAAACAGAAAATCGGATCAGGGAGCAAGCGATAAAAAGCGGCGTTACAGAGTGTGGGTATCCGCGCGAACAAACAGGATCATCGTAGAAAATTCGAGGCCGATTGAAAATCATCGTAAATTCGATACAGATTAGCCAGGACTAGGCCACGAATCGATTCTATTTCCTCTCTTTCTCTCTCTTTTACACACTCTGGCTTAATTTTTATTCAACGATCGTCAATCGATATACGAAACACTTTCGACGATCATCCACGATATCCGCATTTCGACAGAAAACAAAACTTTCATTTTTTGAAAAGTCTCTATTATACGAGAGGGGGAAAAAGTTGTACGTATAATTTCACGAACGTGAAATTTCAATGTTTCGTGAGAAAATAACCTCTAACTCCGTTTCGAGACTTCGAAGAAGAAGAAGAAGAAGAAGAAACGCGAGAAGAACAATTTTCTACGTTGATCTCGTGTGTACACGGTGGGAAATTAATATTCGCGCGGTAAAAGGTGGAAAGTTTGAAGAATTAATTCGAACATCGAGCGGATCTCTTCCACGAAATACTTGGCATCGGGTCAAACGAACGAACGAACGAACGAAAGAAAGAAAGAAAGGAAAGAAAGAAGGAAAGAAAGAAAGTTTCGCGAAGAACGTTGGCGAACGTGACGAGGGAACGTGAAACCTCGGCCACCGCAGAGGTGGAGGCAGACGTTAATTCGAATGTAAATTTCGTCCCTGCGCAGAGCCATGACTGGGATCATAAATTTGAATATCAATATATCCCGGTCGGTAAATCACGTTCGCGTCACGCCTAAGAGAAACGATTGACCGACGATGACAATCCTCTCCTCTCCTCTCTTCCCTTAATGACGTTTCTTCTACCCTCCCTTTCTTCCTTTTTTTTTTTTTTTTAAACCCC